ATCAGGGTAATAACAATTTATTCTTCCTGCCCCAATAACAGAGACACTGGGGATCCCACAGCAGCCAAACTGACCATTTGGGCAGCTATGGCCTCATTCTAGGCGGGGTGGGTGTGCCTATGCAAATGAGATCAGCCCCTGAAGTTCTTTTCCACAACTTGCCACACCTCACCACCAGATGTCAGGGTGGAGCTCATCCTGACTCTGCTTGCATATGAATATGTTCTACTCCATGGGAGAAGGTAATTACAGCTATTAGAGGAACGTTAAACAGTGGGGGAGGTGGGTGATAACCCTGGAGGTTGTAAACAACTCCAGAAAACCACCCCCCACTTGGGTATTTGCATATACTGATTTAAACTGGGTTTTCAAGAGACTCAAACAAAGAAGGGGCTATGGTAAAAAAAGCTGAGCTTTAACTGACACAGAGCCTTTGTTTTGATTAAGGAAATGGACAGAGCCCTCTGTCCAACGGGGCAGGTCCAGCCCTTGTAGGAGGATTGGAAAGACTTTGGCTTACTTGGGCCCATAAGACTGATGGGTGACCTCTAGTCAGGTTTTAGCATGCATAGGGAAACTCTTGTTATGGTTCTTATTGTTGTTCTGTGTTTTCTCAATCTATTTTTTGTCCTTAAAATAAATGTACTCTGCTGAGACAGAGCTGTAGGATCACTGGTAAAAACACTGTCAGTTTCCTCAGAGAGAAAGCACAGCCTAACTGGTAGCCTTTAGGCAGACTGGCTTTCTGGGGCCATCACAGTTTAAGGCAAGAGGCTGGATAGACTTAAAACTTCTGTTCAGAGGTGAGTGGGAAAAGGGTCCCTGCCCAGATCCAGCTAATGGCTGGAGAAAGGGCCGTAAGTAGGGCATGGCAGCGGCCCAATGCACAGAGCCAATAGGGGTGCAAAAATGGGGTGGCATGCAGGACCTGGCCCAGCAACATCAGCTCCCAATCTCCACAGGATCAGTTCCAGCAGTATTGGCCAGAGTTTAGGGTGCTCAGCACCACCCCCTTCCCTGCAGGATCACGGACCTGGCTGGAGCAGGCTCACCCTAGTGCTAGGACCATGGCTGGCAGGACTCTGTGTGTGCTTCTTGGCTCATACTGAGCATGCTTAGTAACAGCTGCTGTAGCTGCTCCTTTCACTGGGGATTAAAATCTGCTGCTGTTCATGGAGGTTAAAGGAGTTTTGGGGGGGATGACAGAGTTTGTGCAGGGGGCGGAAACTGACTGCCCAGTTGGGTCAAACTGGGGTCAAGTTGGAGGCAGGGGAAGCTAAGGGACAAAATCAGGAAGAAACAGCAGGAGCTGGGGTTAAGCCCAAGGGTACAGGCTCTGGCAGAGAGCAAAACCCTGGCACAGGGAGGGGCAGGGGGATAAAAGTGGGGTTAACAACCTGCTGACTTTGCAAAGATAGAGTGGGGGCAGAGGAATTTTTTTATTTCCCCTCTCACAGGACAGTACATCTCAGCACATGATTCCCAGGGCTGTGTCCTGAAAGGCACAAGGTGTCCCAATGCCTTGACATGACAGCTCTTCTCTGTCTGATATAATGTGCTGAGGTGCTAAAGGAAACTTGATTCAGTGAAATATCTTACATATATCCCCAAAAACTATGTCACACGTTTTGTTTAAAAGAATCCCTTGTTAGTTAATGTCTGTATAAAGTCTTTCCTAGCAGTTTGCAAATTTATCTTATCTGCTGCAGTGATTCACTGAATTGCACTCCCTTTCTTGTAATCCCTTTTAAATATAAGTTTGATCATCTAATTGTTTACTTTTTAAAATCTTATTTTTATTACTCTTAGCACTTCATCATTTACCTTTAACATTGTGTAGATGGATGTCATTGTGCTATTTAATTTATATTTTATAGCAAATAATCATTGAAAATATTTATAAGTAAGTAGTTGCTAGTAGTTTTATCGATGACATCTGTATATTTAGTATAGCACATCCGATGTTTTTACTGTGATTTTTAATATGGAATTTTTAATTCTAAATTTTTCTTTTTATTTTTATAGCACAAGTTTATTCTGCTGGATTATGTGACTTCGAGTCTGACTGATTTTCTGGCGTGGTATCAAAACGTCTTAATTTTCATTTGATCCTCCAATGGGGATTGCCTTTCTGAACTGTTATTTTGCCTTTCAATCCAGCCCTTTAGTGCTTTTTTGCATGTCACTATTTGTGTGTAGAACTTGGTTCCCAAATATTCACTTAGGGCAGTATGCTATCTCATATTAAATCCTTCTCAAAGGCAAAAAATCTACTGTAATTTTTACTGAACGTAAGAACGGCCACATTGAGTCAGACCAATGGTCCACCTAGCCCAGTATCCTGTCTTCCAACAGTGGCCAGTGCCAGGTGCTTCAGAGGGAATGAACGGAACAGGCAGTCATTGAGTGATTCATCCCCTGTCATCCACTCCCATCTTTTGGCAGTCAGAGGCTAGGGACAACAGAACTTGGGGTTGCATCCCTAACTATGTTGGCTAATGGCCTAGCCTCCAGGAACTTAAATATAGTTCTTTTTTGAACCCAGTTATAGTTTTGGCCTTCACAACATAATGAACACAAATCTACAACCCCAAGGTTGCTTGACAACCACAAGAATTGAAAAATCATGAATTATACACCCCTAAGTCATGAAATTAAAAAGCAAAAAAAAATCATATTCTTTTTATGTGCCTTTTTCCTCCTGAGTCTTTAGGGTGCCAGAGGTCCAGATGCACAAAAGTAGGAGTCTAAACCTCTGGCTGAATCTTGGCTTAGCCTCATACTTTGGTGGTTACTTCTCCCAAGCAATTCATATACCTAAGGCCTATCACTACACTACAAACTTATGTTAACTCAAGTTATGTCAGCATACAGTCTCTGCGATTAGTATGTCATTTGTGCGTGTGCCTACTTGGCTCTTTGTGTCAGTGGTGAGTGTACTCACCAGGAGCTTTTGTATGGGTTCAGAGTGTGGTGCACCATCCATGGCTATGTATCAACCATCTGTCATAATTTGCTATCTCTCACCTTTGTCATCCTCTGGTCTAGGGGTAGCAAATTGTGATGGATGGTTGATGCCCTTTGCTACCCCTGGACCAGAAGATGACAAAGGTGAGAGATAGCAAATTATGACATGTACCTATCCATCAAAATGTGCTATCCTTTCACCAGTGAGAAAGGAAGTAACAAATTGTGACAGGACAGAAAAAGAACATCCATAGGTGTCAGTAACTGGTAGCAAAATCTGTCAGTAGTGGTTTTTGATATTATGCCCTGGCTTCTAGCAGGAGGCAATGATTTTCAAGCTGTGGGAGTCATCCCCTTAGTGAGGCACCCCCTACAGTTTGAAAAACTCTGTGCCCAATGGAAGACAGAAATCTTGGGTGGCATGTGACCCTGCATGCCTCCCCACTCATCACTTTGAGGGGGCACAAATATGCTTGCTAGCCCCATGTGCTAAAATGCTTAGTTACGACTCTGGCTGGGACTATTAACCTGAAATGGTGATTCTGATCCCAGCGGATCTACAGTATCATGGATTGAAGAGCTGAGACAATACTCCTGGTATATGTCTAGGCGTTGGGCTGTAGGCCAACTTTCTAGTCAGAGACTTTCAGGACTTTAATAATAGAAAAATTGCTTAGAAGAACACAGTTCTTTAAGTTTCAGAGTAACAGCCGTGTTAGTCTGTATTCGCAAAAAGAAACGGAGTACTTGTGGCACCTTAGAGACTAACCAATTTATTTGAGCATAAGCTTTCGTGAGCTACAGCTCACTTCATCGGATACAGTCTCTTTAAGTCTCTCCCGCTGCAAGCTCAAAGGCAGCATCTTAGGGAGCTGGCAGAGTTGTTTGACTACCAACTCCCACTGATGCCAAAACCAGTCAGGAACACTATTAATTTTTGTCACGTGTTGTAGTCTTGTCACGATAAAGCCCTAGTAATCATTATGCTTACTGTCTTGTTTATGACCTATGCAGAGTATAATTAAGACAATGCATATTCACAAAATATGCAACTTCGTAGTGTCAGTGGTATAAAATATTTAGATTTCTGTACCTTCAGCCTTAGCACATGTATGTTAAAATATGAATGTAATATTAGTTTGTGACTATGACCAATGTCATTATAAACTATGTAATGAACTAGCCAACCTCCAGGCATCCTGCCCTGCACGGTTTCACTAAAGGGCTGTATTGGATTAATATGGTAGTTTGATGTCTCCATGCCAAAATACTTCCCTAAGTACTTCAGCCAGTGTGATGGGGTGAGTCTCTGGGGACAGGGCCTCCTTCTCATCTGCCCGCAGCGGGGCCATGAACTGGAGATGTCCACCTCCTCCACCAGCTCTGTTCCTTCCGGCCATCCACGCACTGGGCATCATGGGAGATAATGTCTCCGCTCCTCCCCCTTGGGGTGTGTGTGACGGGGGAGAGACGGTTAAAAGTCTGGTATCCGCCCCCCCGGCCCCGTGGGGGAGCAGCCAGTCCTGGGTGAGTCTGTCTCCCACCAGTGTAGGCGTGGTGAGTCCTGGCTGAGCGTCAGCCACCCCTCGGGCTGGTGGTGGATGTCAGTCCTGCTAAGAGGTAGCGCCCCCTCCCCTTGTGTGAGCGCGGGGAGAGGGAGCCGGGCCATCCCGGCACCGCAGCTCCCCCCTCCCGCCGGGACCAGGGCTGGCTCAGGCTTAACGCGGCCGCGATAGGAAATCCCGGCTCGTACCCAGCACGACCCTCTAGAACTAGCTCGGTCTGTGCCCCGCCCCTTCCCCGGCTGTCTCTCGGATTGGCGGGCGGGTTGTGTACACACGGGGCCGCGCCAATGGGCGGATGGCGGCGCCTAACCTCACGCGGAGGGGTGGCCAATGGGAGAACGCAGTTGTCAGACGCCGCCAAGCTTGTGCGGGGGAGAGGGACACGGGCTCGGTGCGGCTGTGGAGCGAGCCGGAGAGTGGGCCGGGCTGGAGGCACGGTGAGCTGGGGTGGTTGGGACTCTGTGCGTCGAGGGTCGTTGGTTCTCGGTGCACCCTCTCAGGTGGCGCCGGCGCCAGCGGCAACGCAGAGACGGCCAGGGGGCGCCTCTCTCTCTCCTTGGGGCCGGGCGGAGCAGCTGCCAGGTGGCCGGCTAACTGCTACAGCAGCTGGCGAGGGAGGAGCCGTCGTCGGCTCCTTGTCTTGGCTCTGGTGCTGGCCAGGCCGAGCCCGCTCCGCCCCCGGGGCCTGTGGAGGCACGGGGCGGAAGAGCGCGCTGAGCTGCTGCGTAGGGGGCAGCCCCGCTCAGTCCCCGGCTGTGATGTCTCCCTCCCCGCCCCAACCGTGCACGGGGGCTAACCGCCGTATTGCCCTTCTCCCTGGGGGCCTGCCCGGCTCCCTGACGTGGGGCCACTGTCACGGGGATTCACCTCCCCGCCGAGAGCCCTGGAGACAGGCTCTGGTGTCTGACACCTGTGAGCCACGGTCCCCTTTCACTGCCTTAGCAAGGTGGCCCGCTGTGCTTGGCGTGCCCGGCACGCAGGCCTGTGTCTGGAGCTGGGTAGTGCCGTGTGACAGCCGCCCTGTCTGTCTCACTGGGGCTTCTCCGCCACTGCTTGAAACCTAGCTGGAGGTCATAGAAGTGGCCGCGTGTGTGTTGTAATTGGTATCTTCCCCAGTCTCCTCAGACCCGTCTCTTTCCCAGGGGTAAGTCTCTGGGGGAGGAGGGGTGGGTGAGGGGTGGCTCAGTAGCGTTCTGTATTTGGTCCTTCTAGCAGTGTGGCAGTTCGGTGTTTAATTCACTTTATAGCAAGGCTGTGTTCTCCCTGGCAGTTTAGTTCCTATCAGTTCCATTAAAAACAAAAAACAAAAAAACAAACCCTTAACAGCTAACTTCTGATGTGCAGCACAAAGTTAAGATGTTTGGCACTATAAATTTATTGCAACACGCTGAAAAACGTTCTGGGCCACTCGTGGACCTGCGGCTGGTTTCTTATTTTTTTTTTTGTGGGGGATGGGTAGTCAAAAGGTGGGAAATGAGAGCAGAAAGAGTCCCATATTTCACATTTGAGGTCACTAGGAAGGCCCATAATTCTTCTTTTAAAGGCATAAGGGAGGTGAATATAGACTTTACGTTTCACAATGCAAACTTTAGTCAATAATCTAGAAATAATGCTGAAAATATAATGTAGAATCAGCAAACCACATATCTCCCCTCCCTCCCCCACCTTTACTTTGTGTATCTGTTTTTAACTTTATTGAAATCTTCAGTTGTACTGTTCATATTGATATCTGTTGTACTTGTGAGAAGGGGTTGGGAGATAATATTAAAGAGTGAGCTTCCATGGTCTCTTGCTATGCTTATTTGTTATATAGAATGGCAAAACCAGAGCCTGAATCCTATCTGGCAACTCTTATAAATGTTAAGCCAATTTAATAGAAACTTTTATAGAAATATAAAAGGGAGAGAGAAGCATTGATTACTGGGCTAGTCTTAACAATGTTGGAATTAAATGTTTTTTAAAGCATCTCAATTTTTTAATAGCAACTGGAGAATAATACTGTCCGTAAATGACCAGGTCATATATTATCTGTCCTGTCTATTAAAGAAATTTCAAACTATGAATTGGTTTGATGTATGGCTTGATTAAAATTTGTTTGTATGCCAGTATATACTTATGTGGTTAAAGTGAATTAAATCAGGTTAATCCCTTTTACATCAGTTTATGGCTGCTAATCCACTTGATCACATAGTAATATACTAATATTTTATATTGAAATCATGTCAGTTTTATGGGAATGGAAGTCACTGATGATTTATTGATACTGTTATGATACAAATGAGAAAATGTATTTTACAGTTCAGATATTTGTGTATATAAACACAGGTACTTGCAACTTCAGAAATATGTTGTTTAGAATATTGTATGTTCAGTGAAATACAGGAGCAGTGAAAGCGCCCTAAAAGTGTGGGCGGGCACAGATGCCCGAACTGTGGCCTCACCCACTCGTGCTACCCCTTCCCCCCCAAGGCCTCATCTCCTCATGCTGTCTCTTTCCCCCAAGGCACTGGCCCCGCTTGCTTCTCTCCACCCCTCCCCGTGGTGCTCACCCTTATGGCCAGTAAAAAGTCAGGGGGGCCATGGCCCTCCTCCCTCTCACCCCTGTTCCGGTGCCCCTGATGCAATATCTTGCGGAAGTTTTGATAGAGTTGGGAAAGGAAGAGAGAAATTAGATAACAGGAAAGAAAAGATGACAGGAGAGGTAGCTGCAAGAAAAATGTACTGAAATATCTCCTCCTCCCAAGACAGTTTCTCTTGTTAAACGTGAAACATTATCTCTAAAAGAGACCTAGAATAATAGGTCAGGTGATTTAGGCCTACCCTAAAGAAAGAGGGGGAAACTGGGAATTAATTCTTAAAAGTGACTCCTATTTTGTTATTAGTGGGCACTGTCTTGTACAGACAAACTTCTGAGAGAAATCTTGTATTTTTCTGTAAAAACCCTTATGGTTCTCTTATAACTGTTTCCTGTGTGTGTGCAAAAATCATTGTTGTACTATAAAGAATGAAAAGGAGCAGTTTGACTCAAGTTAACCTTCAGTGGACACAGTTAACTTCATATAGCTACAGAAAGTAATTTAACATGAATAGATGTACTACTTGTCTGAGCCTTCTGTTCAACTGTTATCACTACTTGTTTGTTAAGGTGGGCAGTAATTCTCACTACATTATCTGGCATACTGTACACACTGGATCGCTTTGATGCAAACGGCTACCAGGAAGAACAGGACCAAATTATTTTTGAATTATGTATTTTTTACATAAAGCTGTAAAACTGATTGTTTTTGAGTAACATTCTTTAGATATTAAAGTGTAAATCTCTTCAATATGAGGAATAAAGTGTCACATTGACTTATTGCACCAGTTTTTCACTTTTAGAACCTTTAGTTCAAATCTAGTTTAGTCTGCATGTGAAATTAGTTCTGTCATCTCATTGTAGTCTTCAGTGAACCCTTTTTGTGGCAGGTTTGCAAAGAGAAAATTTGTAATGATTTGGTGTAATTGTTTGCTCAGCAAAAGCCCGTTGCTGAAAGTACTGCAAGTTCTGATCCAGGTGAGTTTAGTGTTGTGTGTAGAAGCTTGTTTGAGTTCAGGCTATGAAGTGTTATCTACCTCTAAGAGGTTAACCCAGACGGATCAGTTGGGGAAAAGTGCATAATATAGTAAGACAAATGGTGTTAATTTTCTAGAAGTACCTCATATTTTCCCACTTTGCGTGTTGGAAATAGGTGTATGTGAGAATCATATCCAGAACAGCATTTTTGTCCAGGTGCACAGTTAAGAGCTGACACAGAGTAGAACAGACAATATCTTTTCCAGTTTATTTCTGCTGCTTAAGCTATGAGAGCCTATTTACAGGAGCAGCAAAAGAACATGCATGACACCCTATGATGGTGAGCTGCATAAGTGAACCTTACAGTACAAAGCAAGTTTCTGGAGATGTGCACCAAATTCAAGAAGAGAAAATAGTGGTGTGATATAGCTGGGAAAAGAGAGCTGTTTATCCATGCTGCGTTTTATGGAAATCTTAATTGTGTGTCATCTTGAAGCAGAATGTGGCCTTTTAGCTGTAGCCTGTGTAGTTCAATTGGCAGGAGTTAACCATAGTTGTCTTATTCATACAATACTGCCTTAAAACAGTGTTCTTTGTTTTTCTTTAATGCTCTGCAATTCCATTAATTTGATTTGCTTTTTATATGTGCTTCTAGCTTTTTTTGTTGTACACTGTTTAGAGGAAAAATCTTATCCTACCAGCTAGTAGTAAAGTCCTACAAATGTAGTCAATAGAGAATAAGTGAGCAGATCTGTAGGTGGGTTAACAGTCTTACAGAGATTATCAACTTTGCTCCCTCTGGTCTGGTGCCAGGAAATGATAATGTGTTCTTGGACTTAGGTCTCAGACAAGGCTGGTGCAAAGCCAACAAGCTACCTAAATCCATCTTGCTTTCAAATACACCTATCCTAAAGTTTACGTAAGTAATTAAATGAAAATAAACTAAAGTACATTGGGGGTTACTGTAAGAAAATTAAATCCACGTTGATACTTCGTTTAAATTGTTCTTAAGGGGGTCTCAAAAGCAAGCAATTTGTGTTCTGCAATCCCATGAAAAGGTGGTGTGTATTATGGCATGGCAATTTTATAGTGCTGAACTTCTTTAGACTTGCAGTATTGGTAGCTGTTCTACATTTTTATGGCTGTATCCATTAGTAAGAGTGGAATAAGAACTGAACTTCATCTTTAAAAACGCACAGGACAGCTATGTTGGAAGAAGATAAAACAATGAAAGCTCACTTAGCACTGCCTCATTCCATAATTTTTGCTGAAATATCAGTTTCTGGCTACTTGTAGTAGGTTGATGATCAGTCAAATCATTTTCAGCTACTTCAAATTCAGGATTATATACCCCTTCCACTATTACAGATACAGAACTTTAGCAAGAAGTACAATCTAAGAAAATGAAACTAAACACTTATCTCAATTCATGTTACAAGATCAGTACATAAATATCTAATGACCCTTGGTTTTGGGCCAGCTTCTACTTTGGTGCAAAGCTTTCTAATAGGGCATCTTTTAATTCTTGTGAGATAAGTGTAGCTCTTCAATGAAAAAGGGATGGAACTAACTTTCATTTGGTCAAATAGAGAGTTAGCTATTGGTAATAAGAAGCTCTCGGACTTTAAGAACACACTTCATAGAAGAAATGTTCACCATGACAGTTCTGAGTTTAGAGCTTGCTGAAATTAGTTCTGAAATCTTTCCTAATTAACTACCATTTAATAAAGAAAATGAATTCAAAAGGTACTGTGTGTGCCTGTAATAAGAGTGACTGAAAGCAAGTATGCCAGCTGTCAAGGGCCACCTGTTAGTATAGTGACTGAACCATCCCCAATTTAAACATGTCATTATTAGGGCCAGCCTGTTCTGTGCAGAAACTTGCTAATTACTATAGACTGTCAGTTAACTACTGAAACTGACTTTCAAAGTAGATTTCTGCTTCTGCTAGTTGGTGACCTAGTTCTGTAGAACAATTTAGTGTTTGCTACCAAGTAAATGCTATAACAACTACTCAGCATTTAGTATTGAGTATCATAGTAGGGATTCAAACCAAGTTAGCAAAGACTATTTTTAATCACTATACAAGATATACAAAAGTTGATGGGTTGTTCTTAAATACCAAGAATTAGAATTCTTTTTGTTGGAGAGTATACACTGCACACGGAAATCGCTTAGGCCTTGCCCATGAAACCTTTTATACATTTAAGTAGTCTCACTAGCTCCAGTTCAATCATTTTTTGTATATACATGTTGGTAGGAGTGGGGCCTTAAATAAGAGTGTGGGTATCCTCCAGTAACGATAGTAATACCTGTAAATTCCCATGTGTTATCTTAATCAGATGAATTTATAAACTAGTGAATGAAATTTCTGTCATGATGTTTTAAAGCTGTGACCATATGAAATAATTTCTTTATATCCTTATTTTTCCATGTGAGCAGTTACTGTAGGTACCAGGAGAATCCTAACTGAACACTCATAGGTGGGGTTGGGGTCCTAATGATTGAGTGGAGGGAAGTCTGGCCCATACTATGAGGGGAAAAATGAAGAATGCTCTGCTAGTAGTTGTGTTTTAGTGTACTCTCTTCTG